CTCTCAGTAGCCATTGATACCATTGGCCAGTATATCTTCTTCGACAAGCTACTGAGTTTGGGGATTGGAAGCTCAACTGGCTCTGGTCCTTTCTTGGTGGATGTGTCCAGACAGTCCGACTTGGGGATGTTACTTCAACCCCATGGGTTTTTTGTTGTCAAGGCCCACAGCAATCAATCAATGCTCTTTAACATATAGAGGAGGCTATTTGAGTGCATGATGAACCATGACTCGTCCACTCCAGAACCATCTTGTTGAAGGATCACTTTTGTTGAAACGCCAAAACACCTAAGTCTATGTAGCCTCAATCCTGCCTCTGGGGTGGTAATAATGAGAAGAAGAAGAAGAAGCGTGCCATCAAGTAGCTTCCAAATTATGGTGACTCCATAACGCCCATCCCAATTTTTCCAACTCACTGAGCTCTCCAGCCAGCTTCTTAGGCAATAGAGGGCTAAATATAGTAGTCAGCCCCAACTAAAGTAGTCCCATTGAATCAACAGACCCGTTAGATATATGTTGATGAGTACCAGTCATTCAGTAGGTCTAGCTTAGTTGGTATTAACAATGGGAGGAAACCATAAGTCATTTACCCTTTGTAGACATCTCAGACATTGGCTTATGAAATTTCTACGTATAGTCGTCAAGACAGCTTCACGCTTCTTTGCAGAACAATAGTCTTCAGCCCTGTAGCCTGCTTCTGTGCATCCCCCTTTTTTCTTCAAGGCAACATGCACAGGTCCTATACCTCATTTTACTCTTTCAAGAACCCTACAATGCTGAGCAACATCTATCACCCATGTAGGCGACTGCTTCAAACAAGAAAATCAGTTAAGTTTTGCTGTTCAAATACAGGACCTCTAAACCTGTTTTTAATATATGTATTGCTATAGTGGACTTTTGTGGACCAATATGCAAATATAATAAGCAGCTTGTATGCTTGTGTTTTTACATTTGAGTACTTGGATGAAGTTCGTTTCCAGACTAGTGATCTCGCTGAATTCAGCATCACTAGATTTGAAACATAAATTTATTGAGTAACACCCTGTTGTCTTATAGATGGAATTCATACTATAAAGGGAGATTCTGTGTATGTGTACATTGGTATAGGGTAGAGGTGGGGACAAAAAAAATAGCGATTCATTTTGACCCATTATTCATCAAGGTTAATGGATCAATGAATATGAATATACGAATATTCTTCAATGAATTGATGAATCAATCTGTTGATTTGTCTGAAATTTAAATGGCTATAACACTGGCCCCCAACCACCTAGAGACACCAAATTTGCAGGGAAGTGTCCTCAGATGCTTTTCTACAACTCCTGAAAGTTTGGTAGACATTGGATCACAGACCCGTGAGGTATATAGTCACGAAGGGGAACCCCCCAGGAAAGCTCCCCCCAGGTACTCAGAGATGTCTTTCACCAACATGCATGCCAACTTTGGTGAAGATTGGATATCGGACATCCATGTTATTCACCCACAAATTGGGTTTACTCCCCCAGGAGAGTTTACCACATGGCAGAGAAGCCCATTCTGCCTACCGGCCGCCAATCAGCTGATCAGAAGCCGATAGGCAGCTGCCCCTCTCACAGTGAGCCACCCCAAAAGCCTAACCCCACACCCCTTCCTTTCCCTACCATAGCCCCCACCCCACTCCCACTGACACCCCCTTACCTTAATAGCTGCTGCCAACGTCTCCATCAGGCCTTTGCAGCCACAGCGTATAAAAAGGAAGACTGGCTGCCCTTTGCAAAGATGGTGGCTGTGGCTTCGTTTAGATTAGGGAAGCTGCATCTGCCGTCTTTGCAAAGGGCAGCCTGGATTCCCTTAAGGCAGTGGTCCTCAACCTTGGGCCTCCAGATGTTATTGAACTACAACTCCCAGAAGCCTTCACCACCACGTCTGCTGGCCAGGATTTCTGGGAATTGAAGTCCAAGAACATCTGGAGGCCCAAGGCCTTAAGGCACACTAAGGGAATCCAGGCTGCCCTTTGCAAAGATGTCAGCTGCAGTTTCCCTACCGTAAATGAAGCTGCAGCCACCATCTTTGCGAAGGGCAGCTAGTCTCCATTTTTACATGTGTGGCTCTGAGGCCAGAAGACCTCGGCAGCAGCAATTAAGGTAAGAGAGTGTTGGTAGGGGTGGGGTGGGGCCTAAGGTAGGGAAAGGAAGGGAGTGGGGGTAGGCTGTGATATTGGGTGACTGTGTTGGTTGATGGCTGCCTTTCTGTCGCCGATTAGTTGATTGGCGGCCGGTAGGCATAATGGTGTTTTTTTTAAAAAATAATAATAATATGAAGGACAAATAAAAATGGATAAATATTCATCCCTTCATATTAGTGCAGGTCTCTGGAACCCACAAATACAGATCGATGAATATTTAACAAATCTGCTATATTCCTCAGAAAAAGCGATCCGTTTTTATATTCGTCCCCATCTCTAGTATAGGGATCTACCAACCACTGAATGCATCAGAAACCCAAGGCCAATTGCTGCTCTACAGGTGTCTACACAAGAGTGCCTTCCTTCGTGCTGCATCTCGTCCTCTGAGACTGTTGGCCAGGCTTTGCCAAGATTGGGCATGAAGATCAAGATAAGTGATCTGACTAAATGTAATAGGCAGCTGTAGATGTACTTCGACTTTGTGTACTCTTCTTGTGACACACTATAATTGAGATGATGATAGGCTCTCACTGTACACATTATTGGTTAAGCTCTTAGGGTTATTGATTATCTTCATTCTGTTTAGACTACTGAATATACAGAATCTGCAGCCTCTTAGCACAGAGTTCTAGGAGTCAGTAGCTCAATCTAGGTGTTATATGCCTTTTTCAGAGCTAGGAAGGCACTGTGAAAGGGAAGTAGTAATTTTAATAAATAGTATAATGATCATGGCATTGCTAAATCTTTTGGACTATTGATTTAGTTTCTGTTATTGTTATTATTTTGAAATATTTCAGCCTGTTTTAAAAATAAAGTTGTTTTTATTCCCTGTACTCTGCCCTGAGACCTTCAAACATGCCCCAGGATAGAAATGTTAGATAGTACATAATTAATTAATAGCAACTGTGGAAAAAATAAATTAATCACATTAATTTGTGGTTGACTTAATTTATTTGCATTGTTATTATTTTTCATGATTTTCTGTTAAAAATGGAAAGTAACATGAAATACTGGGAAATATAGCATATGGCAGCCGTGCAGATTATATTCAACAGAAATGTACTGAGCTATTGACCATAACGGGGACGTGGTGGCGCTGTGGGCTAAACCGCAGAAGCCTGTGCTGCAGGGTCAGAAGACCAAGCAGTTGTAAGATCGAATCCACGCGACGGAGTGAGCGCCNAATTGCTATACAACCAACTACTCAACAGAAAAAGTCTTTCAAAATATTGGTCATATTGGTCATGGTGTTTAGAAATTTGAAAACATTAACGACTACACCCATTTAGATCTGCTTGCAAAGATCTGCCAGGAGACAATTCCAGTTGAGTGCAGAATGATATAAGTTTGGACACATTACACAATTATCTAGGAATATATTAGTACTAGAGCTGATAATTAGATTTTGATATTGTTTGTGAGGATATGGATTTTGTAGTACAGTGGTGCCTCCAATAGCGATGTTAATCCGTTCCGCAAAAAACATCGCTATTGGATTTCTTCGCTATTCAAAACGCGCTTTCCCATTGAAATGCATTGAAAGCCGGCTAATCCGTTCCAATAGGAACGAACACCAATTGCTGCACACCAATTGTGATGTTTACCCCCTCGCCCCTTCTTGTTTCACCAAGCACAGCGCTCACAAAGGTATCCCAACACATCCCAATGATTCTTAAGGACCTTCTTAAATTTACACAAAGCTTCAGTATTTTACTTCACTCTCTTCTATATCAATTAATACAGGTCACAATCTGACTAAGCAGTTGATTTCTTTATCAACTTAATTTTCTTATGAAAGACTAAGGTCCATCCAGTACTGAACTTCTAAACAGAATCAGTTTTATTGATGATAAGGTGTTTCAGGAATGATTCTTAAGGACCTTCTTAAATTTACACAAAGCTTCAGTATTTTACTTCACTCTCTTCTATATCAATTAATACAGGTCACAATCTGACTAATCACTCTTTAACCACACTCTCTCCTCAAACCCCCCAAACTCCTCTCTTCTCTGTCTCTGACTGAACTCCTCCTCTCCCAGGCTCCGCCTCTCAGCACCTCCCTTGGCTCACCTCACAACCACATTAACATACAGCTCATGAATAATGCATATCTTAGGGTGAACGCAACATTCTTCCCCCCTTAAATACATTTGTTTAGGAGAGGAAACATAGCAGTTTGCCCTCATAAACAACCACCTAAATACGTGCGAGTATAACAATAACTTACGAATACTTATGCATACCTTATAATACCATTTTCTGTCTATTATTATGTTTATCAAATCAAACTTACCATTTTAACATTCAAAACAATCAATATAGTTAAAACATTTGCATTAACCACATTAATACCTATTGAATTACATCACCTTTGCATCAATAAAGACATACCAACCTCTTGCATTACTTACATCAATACAAACATTACCTCCACATCAATAAAGCTACTCACCATTATTTTTACCATAATTCTACACCTCTCAGTTCATCAGCCTCCAAACTTTGCATTTTAATCATATTTCATAACTCTTACATAAACAAAACATTTAATGAAACATTACAAACTTGGTTTATCCACCCATTAGTCATTTGGCCTTTGAGACAAGGTATCAGCATCCACGCTCTGAGTCCCTTTTATGCTGCGGATTACAAAGTCTTGCAGGTTCCATGTCCATTTTGCAAGCTTACTGTTAGTGGATTCCATACTCTGTAGCCACACCAGAGGGAAATGGTTGGTGCAAAGGACAAATTTCCTTCCCAATGTAGGGTTTCAGTCTTTGCAGCATCCAAACAATTGATAGGCATGCCCTCTTGATGGCAGACACATGTCTCTCACCAGTTCGTAATCTCCTGATGGTCAGAGTCACTGGGTGTAAACTCCTGTCATCTGCCTGGCACAGCATGGCTATCAAACCCACACTTGACATATCCATGTACACGATGAATTCCTGGTTGAAGTCCAGTGCAACAAGGCCAGGTCTTGAAATCCGTGCTCTCTTCTGATGATTGACAGTCATCGGGTACTCTGTCATCCACTGGATGTCTTCAGCTCACCTCTTCCAGGTTAAGCCTGTCCTTTTTCTGAATAGTGGCTTAGTTTTCTCATTGTAGGAAAGTTAGGCAGTTTCTTCCACTCTTCCAGCACAGCTATGGCTGTGTTCTTCCTTGAAATCTTATAGATTACACCTTCCCCCTCACCAACAAATTCACCCACAGGTACTTTTGTTGCAAAGTTCTCCATATGTGGGGGACCACTATCACAGGTCACTTCAAGATTCTTAGGCGAGTTTCTTTTAGGTGCCATCTCAAACACTTGGCTTATGTCAGATGTATTGATATTTTCAACACCTGGTTCTATTCCTTTAATCTCTCGTTTCTCAGGTAGGGGTTTGCCTTGCAAGGTTTTAAGTGCTTTTGCAGCTGCAGAGCGACTAGAATCCTTAGCCCTCCAGTGCTGCGGCAACTAATCCACAGGTTTTGACCTTGCCAACAGCAGTTTACTCCCATCTATGGGTCTCAGCCCCACTACTTTGTCCTCAGGACAGAATGCTCTTTCCTGGGCCTTTTCATCAGACCAGCCCCTCTTCTTTTCTTGAGCACTCCCCAAGATTTGCTCTGGTATTACTAAAGATTTTAGCAGACACCACATTGGCAGGGGGTCGAGATCCCTGGCAATGAGCATAGTTTAACCTTTGTCTTGTCATCCCCAGTACCAGTCATTTGGCACTTATCACATGTCTGACAAAACTGCTTAACTTGTTGACCCATTCCTGGCCAGTAAAAGTTCATTGCAACCCTTTGTTTGGTATGTGATATTCCCATGTGAGTTCCAAAAGCATCACTATGCACCTTGCTTAAGATCTCACCTCTATATTTTTCAGGTACAATAAGTTGTTTGAGGATTCCATCTCCACCCCTCTGAGGCGCTAATTAAACTTCTCTATATAACAAATTGTTTTCTATTATAAATCTCTCTGGGCATTCAGGCATTAATGAAAAGGGAGTTCCCTCAGCTTTCTCAAAGAACTGCGTAAGGGTGGTATCCTCCTCGTTTTCCTTATCAAATGATGAATTATTAGGATTTTTCATAAATATAACTTCTGCCATTTCATCCACATCAGAGTTTTCTTTTAAACTGGGGCCTTCCAGGTTATTTTCAGAAGTTAGGGATTCCATTTTTCTCTCAGAGGTTGTTAACTGTTCTCCCTGGAAACATGTTACTACAAGAGCAGTCTGCACATGCTTAGTGAGATCTAATCCAAACAATCAAGGTGCTGAATTGTGATCAGAAATTGCCACATCCCAAATTCCAACCCAGTCTATATAGTTTATCTTTACTTTTGCCATAGGAAAAACCACAGTAGAACTTATTCTCTTGATTGTAACAGTTTGATTTGGAAGTACAGTGGTGCCTCGCTTAACGAGTGCACCGTATTATAGTTTATCTTTACTTTTGCCATAGGAAAAACCACTGGAGTAGAACTTATTCCCTTGATTGTAACAGTTTGATTTGGAAGTATTTGTTCTTTAGGAACCACATCAGGATGACACAAGGTTATGTGGGAACCGGAATCAACAACTCCAACATAAGATGCCTCATTGATACGAATTTTCTCTCCAGAGTTCTGTAGTAGAATATTATCTGCCTTTATAAGAAAACACTGAATAACATTGGCTTGTGGCAGATCAGAATTTTCAGTTGTGCTAGTTGCCATGGAGACAGAACCATTGTTACAGCCTCCTTCAGTGGCTTCCACTGGTTTTATTTTTGGTCTGACTATTTTCCATTTTTATTTTTATTGTCCTTCATACAATTTGATTGAATATGCCAAACTTGCTGCAGTTATAACACTGTCTATAAGTCCTTCGATCATACTGAGGAGATCTGTCAAACTTTTCCTCAGGGTTCATTCATTTCCTCAGGTGAGGCCTACCTCACCTAGGCCCCGGCAACTTAGGCGAGGTACTAAGCTGGTCATATATCCCTGACAGTTTACAGTTTACTGTTGTAATTTTTATTGAAGGGTTTCTTACTGTTGTCCCAGTTCTTCCTGTAAAATTTTACCTCAGAAAACTTAGGATCTCACTAATAGAATCAGCATATTTGGACACCTGTAATACACTTTTAGGATTTTTGTCTTTGACCAAATAATGCAATTCCCCAGACAAAATGGAATAAAGTTGTTCTAAACCAATGACATTTTTCATTTGGTCTAAAGAAGTGACATTTTCATGTTCCATCCATTTGTCCAAACATTGAATCAGTTTAGCCCCCACTTGGGCATAAGATTCTTCAGGCTTTTTGGTAAGGGTACAAAACTTTCTTCTAAAGTCTTCTGCATTTATGCCAAATCTAGAATATACTATTTTTTTTATTTGCCTCAAAATCTCTAGCTTGCTCCAGAGGCATCTGAGAGATAAAGCTCAGCTAAATCTCCACTTATTGGTGATCTCAAAATTATCATCATTTCATCATCCTTAATCTCAAAGTCCCAGCATGCTCTCTCAAATGATATCAGGAAAGATTCAGGGCAATCTCCTTTCTTATATTGGGGAAATTTCTTTAGGTTAATTTTTGAGATATTTCTCTCACTAGAGTTGTTATTATTATTATTATTTTGAGAAGCTAATTCTAATTTTTCATCTGTATTTGAAATTCCATTTGTCTGGCTTCTTGCTCAGCTTTCGATTTTTCTCTAATTCTTTAAGCCTGAATTCCTGTTCTAACCTCCATTTTTCAAAATCTTTTGGAGCTTAGAACACTTTGTCTCTCTGATGCATCATCGACTTCCTCCTGTTCCACTGGAGCTCGAGGGTCTCAATTTCCCTCCACTTCCTGAGGCAAACTTTCTGCCTCCTGACTCCTTTTTGGATACATTTGGGTGGCATGTTTAAGTCTGAATAAATTAGTCTTGAATGTCTGTACTGCTTTTAAAAAGGACCTGTCTTTTTGCTGTTAATTCCAGTAACTATGTTGTTGTGCTTCACTCAGCAGCTCTCTCTAGCTGTTCTCCAGCTAACAACCTTTTAATTACTGTCTCTTTATGACTGAGCTATTCTTGCTCTCAGGCACCAAAATAATTTAACTTTTCAAGCCTCTGCTTTGATTTTCCT